CAAAAGACAATGTCTATAATCATTTATTCTTTATTCATCATCAGGTTAGTGAAAATCTAATAACTTCCGCTTGATATTCTTCTTTTTCCTTTTTTTTTCAGTTCGGAATTTTCATGGATGACAAGATAATACAAAAGAATAACGGGAATAAAAAAAAGAAAGAAAGAAAGAAAGAAAAAGGTTTTTCACACACACAATTATAATTTTTTTCAAAGATAATAAGACAACAAAAAAAAAAAGAAAAACGCTTCTTTTATTATCTCATTGAGTAAGTAAAAAAAAAAAGTAGTTGGAGAAAAAAAATTATTTTGTTATTTATAATGATCTAGTTAATGTTTGTCTTAGTACTTGAGAATATAATTAGTTCAATCAGGAAGCATTTTTATTTTCGATGAGTTATTCATATAATAGAAATGAGTTTTATTTGATAAGCTAACTTTTTTTTTTTTTATCGATAACGATTGGCCTCAAGCCAAATTTGTCTCGAACCAAAAGCAAAGCAAATTTCCTTTTACTATCTCGTTCTGTTTGTTGATGAGTTGCTTGATTGGCAGTTGCTTATTCTACACTTGTCTATTTTTTGACATTTAATGTTAGACGGAAACTTATTTCCCTAATGTTACATTCAATGAAGAATAAAGAATAAATCCATAGTCATAACTATTTGTTATGAGTGTTTGTGAATTCCATCAATGTTGTCTCAGGTGTTCACTTCTCAATCATATCAATCGACAAACATAACTAAACTATTCCCTTTGACGACAATCAAGTATAAGAGAAACAAAAAGTATATACTGTCTGACATAAACTTGTATAGATATAGAAAATATTTGTTAGTGATTGCAACTTGACATTTATCTATTGTTAAGAAAATATTATTTCTATGATTATTATTGATCAATTATTTATTTAATTAACGAAACTAAAAATAAAAAATGAAAAACTTATTTATATAGAAAAAAAAAGGCGTTTTTCATCAAGAGATCGAGGATTGTTTACCTCCCAGAAGATGATGAAATCAATGCGAATCATAATTGTAATTGCGGAAATCGAGCTCTTCTCTTTTATCGCTATCTGACTATCGTTTCGCTCGTCAAGAGACAAGCATTTTCCTGTATATGTTATGTGCACGCATCTCTTTGCCATCTCGTTAGCGATATTCCCTTTCCGGCATCCTTTTTCTTTTTTTTTTTTTTTTTTTTTATTTCTATCCATAATGAAAATGTTCGCATGCAACTTGAAATGTATATACATAGAATACATTCACATTTAGACACGAGTAAAAAAGAAAGACAAGAACAAAAAAAGAAATGTGGTATGATGAGAAGAATGATTTGTGATTAGAACCTGTCTTTTCTTTTTTTTTTTTTTTTTTTGTATTTCTTCTTTCATTGAATGATGTTGTCCAATGGATCGATGATCAGGGAAATAGTTCATTGTTGATGATCAACAGTTTTTTGCCGTGTAGAATAAAAGAGAAAAAGAGAAAAGAGAGAGAGAAAGAACTATTTTTACCTCTTTCTTCGTTTTGCATTTACACACAGGGAATCAAATAGAATATATAGAAACGAGAAAAAAAAGCGAGATGGATGCCTGTCGTGCTCTTGCCGATGCCGAGATGAGATGAAATGAATGAATGAATGAATGAATAAAACGCGCACAGTGCCTATTAATAGTAAAGGAGACTGGCATGTCTCACATCATCATCAATAGTCAGTATATAGAGACATGAGAAGAGAATCAAGGTAAGACTACGTTTTCGATTTCCGACATAAGGAAAAAAAGAAAAAAGAACTCTATTCCGACAAATTTTGTTTTCTTCAATGTTTCTTTTTTTCTTTTTTTTTCTTTGTATATAACAATTAATTAGCCATTTGATATTTCAATGATAAAAACTGAAGAATATAAAAGAAAAGATCTGTCAAAATGAAGACAAGTATGTATTATAAGATATTATTTATCTCTTTATTAATCAAAAGAAAAAAGAATAAAACAATAACTTTTTCAATAATGTTTTTTTTTTTATTCTATAAATGAGAATAAGATTTAAAGATGACTAAGGAAATAAAAGGAAATGCGTGTATGTTTGTCTCGTCTGTTTTAACTGGTCTATTCAAGTCACGTATTATCTATTATCTGTCTCTCTTGACAAACGAAACACGTCGTGTCTTTTTCTCCTTCATTTCAACTAGACCATCGATTTGATTAGGACGCGCATAGAACAAGACAAAATGCAGGTGTCGAGTTAGACTCATTACAACGTCGTTTATTGTTATGATTTAGTTTCTCACAAGTAAGCATCTTTGCCTTTCATCATATATAACTAATACATAGAAAAACAAGATATCTTTTTTTTTTTCTCAATGAATTAAAATAGTCTTCGAATATGATATCGATTTACACTAAGAGAATATATATTTGTTATACAAAACATAACTTTCAATAGTTATCACAAAAAGTCCAATGAGAAAAAAAAAAAAACCAGTCAGTTGGGTGAAATAGTTCATATCTTATAAATATAGTTATATGTCAAATGAGAACAATTGTCACATAAATCGATTTCCGTTTTCCACACCCATTCATATATGTGAAAGCCATGAGTATAGACACATATGGGTGATGGCAGCGGCTGTTACTTCAGTTTTTTAAAAAGTGGTTGCAAAAGAAAATATAGAAAAGGAAACGAGAGTGCATTAATGTTACTCATGTTGAGTGTTGATGTAAGTATGTTCGTTTAGTTAGAAAAATCTTTGAAACGAGTCATTTATGCTTGATTTATCTGATCGAGAAAAGAATAACGGAAAAGAAGATTTTTGTTTTATATATTTGAATTAATAATAGGAACTATTTTTATTATGAAAAAGAAATTTTTGTTTTTTTTTATTGTTCTTCTTAAGAATAAACGATTTATATATACAATAGAAGAATATTCATTTATATTCGAGTGTTGTTTACTTTCTACAAATAAACTAAATAGATTATAATAGAAATCATTCTCATTTTAATTCTAATAAAAAAAAAGAAGAAAGGTCATTGAGGTTAATTTTTGTTTTAATTCGTATTGAAAGATTTTCCATTGAGAATAGTTAACTTCTCAAGAGATTGAGTATATTTTCTATTTTTATTATCTTTGTATTAAAAAACAAAATGATCAATAATAATAATTTGTTGAACAATGAATTATTGCACCTGTATGTAAGTAGATCATATATGTTTGTCTAATGGATGATCCTTGTCGATGTTTTGTTGACTTAGTCCTATCCTACATATACATTTTTTTTTCTTTTTATCCAAACTGTCAAATGAGAGCGTATGTACATCATCTCTTTCGATTTTTTTTTTCGTCATCAGGTGTAATATTAAGTGCCTCGAGCATCGTTTTTTTTTTGTTTCTATTTCTGTTGAAAAATTCTATATAAAAGTAGCTATTTTTCATTTATTTATTCATAATCAAATCGTATGCACGAATGCATACAATTAAGACAAATGTATGAACGTGTTTCACTCAAATATTATTATTGAAAAGAAAATGAGAAAAGAAGAATTAATATTATCATATACGCATTAAGTTTTTTTTTTTTTTTCTATTAGCAAGGAAAAAAAAAGTAAATAGAATTCTATTTATATTCATTCTCATTTGAACGTTCGTTAGCTTGTCTTAGTTTTAATAAATAACAAAAAAAATAATTAAAACAAGAAGATTTGTTTCAAGTAAGAAGAAAAAACTTTTGTATGTTAAATGATTTTTAAGCCAAAAGAAAAAAAGTCTTGAAATAGAATAAATTTTTTTTTTTTTTTTCATTTGATTTTCTCGAAAGATTTTTTTTTTTCTTTTTCTTCGATGTGAAAAGTATTTTAGTTGAACGTATCGTTTTTAATATTTTCTTCTAATAGAATAAAGCCGATTTAAATAAATAGATGAACATATTCAGAGATTTGAATTTCATTAAAAAAAATCTAAAGCAAAAAATAACAGAGAAAAAGGAAGCAAAATAAATAATATTTTGACCTGGTTGATTCTAGAAGAAAAAAAAAAAAAAAGACGAACAAACATAAAAAAAAAAAGAGAAACTCGTTTGATAAATATTCATTTCTTTCTCATTTTTTTTTTCATTTCGGTCGACTCATGATGAGATATTATCCGATATTTACTTACCTTTCTTCTTTGTTTTTACCGTTTACACACATCAAATAACGAACAAAATCTTATATTTAGTTTTATTTTGATCAATTATTCAAATATTCGATTTTAGTAAGTTGAATATTCAAGAGCTTTTTTTTCTCTTGATTTAGAATAAAACCTTTCGGCTATATAATATGAATTAACTTTTTAAATTAATACTAATACTTTATTCAATACTTGACATAGTTTAATAAAGGTTCACGAATTTTAATATGTTCTTTTTACTTCTTAATATTAATCTTTTGTTTTTTTTTCTTTCAATAAGATTCTGAGTAGTGACTCAAAAAAATGTTTTAAATAAATTATAAACATTTTCGTAAGAGAACGACATCTAGAAATCTGTCAAAAAAAAAAAAAGTACTTATATACATGTATATATAATATATATATATGTTTATTTGTGACGTTGGATATAAGATTGTTGTTGTTATTGTTGTCATATATATAAAAGTAAGATAATTAAAATTAAGAATAAATGGTTGACACATGTTCTATATGATAGATTTATTTATTTATTTATAATCGAAGAATAAATATATATTTATTTTTAGATGATATATATATCTATTGATTAATTTGTATTGTTGTTATTTTTTTTTTCTTTTTTTGTCCGATCATTGACAAAAACAAAATCTGTGCATTCCATTCATCTACACAGAAAACAAACATACAAACACATCTTTTTCTTTTTTAAATCCGGTGGTTTTCTTTTTGTAATTTTAAATTATATTTGCAATATGATTATTTTCTTTAAATGTAAGTTAAGATAAGAAAATAAAAGAATAAAATAACATAACATATATATATATTATTTAGAATGTTAACTCGATCATCTGCAGCTTCACGTTTATCTCCAACATTAAATCAACAAATTGAAAAACGTCGACGTTCAACAATAACAACAAATGATGATGATCAACAACAACAACAACAAAATGATAATTCATTATCATCATCATCACAAGCTAAACCATTAAAAAAACGTTGGTTAGCTCATCATAATGTTGATCAAGAACAACAATTAAATAGTACAAATATTCAAGGTATTTATTTTTTATATTTAAATGAATTATTTTTATAATTAAATAAAATAGATAATTTATCATCAATAAATAATTTAATAAATGAATACAATTTTCAAGATTGGCAAACAATAACAGTTCTTGTTGATATAGGAAATAATCAATTAAATGAATATATATCAGGTACAATAATTGATATACCAAAAAATGGTCATTTAATTGTACAATCATCAATTATAAATGAAAATTTATTTCCAAATAAAATTCAAATTAATTTATTTGAAAATCTTTTTGGTATATTATCTGATAATGCACCACCAATAAGAGAATTAATACAAGGTAAACATGTTTTATGTCGACGACAACAAATACATACAGAAACAAATTTTAAATATTCAACATATCAATCAGGAATAATTATTGAAAAAACAAATGATGCTAAATTTAATATTCTATTTGATAATCAACAAGATACATTATGTGTACCAAGACAATCAATTAGATTATTTTTACCACCATGGCATGATGGTTCGTTCTTTTATTTTTAGTTTTATTTTTATTTTTTTAATTTAAATAGAAATTCCTGTTGATTGGAATGCTGCACTTGATGCTAAAGGTTTATTTAAATCAAATAATACATCTGATATTAATCATCGACAAGGTAAGCAATTGATATTTTTTTTTTTAATCAGCAAATCTATATAGTTTATTCATTCAAAAAAAAAACTTGTTAATTCTATTTTTATTTTAATAATGACGTCATTTTCAATAGAAATATTCACTTCCGAATTTCAACTTTATTTCGAAAGAAAAAAAAAAAAACTTCTATGAGATTTATTTTAAAAGTTCGACATATCTAATGCGGTAGGAGGATGTGCATCTATCGCAAGAGATTATACATTCTTCTAGTGGAAAATGACTGCATCTTCTAAAGAAGATTTCACGTCTCTCGTGGGAGATACACCATCTCCTATGAGATATGTGGGCACATACTTGAAAATTTTTTATATGTGACACTATTACGAAATATAATAATTAAATGGTTAATATAAATTATTTTTATCAATGAAAAGTTCAAAGTCGAACTTGTAAAATGTATTTATTCAAACGAATGACCTTATTTATGATAAATAATAATATAAATATACGTCAATAATAACTAATGAGTAGAAACTATTATTGCGCTATTGATTTATGTTTAGTCAAAAGTCAATAGGGAATATCCTGAGTAGATATGTTTAATCATTATTTATATATAGAATATCTTTCACATATATATATATATTCAATATTATTTAGTGATATATTATTCAATACTTAGGACGTACCAAAAGTTCGTGTCCCGCTATTTAAAGGGCCTCATCGGATGGATGAACCGATTCAGAAATAAGAAACAAATATATCATCTTGTAGAGCTTTTCGAGTCGCATCAAATGGTATATAGTAAATTTTGTTTTCATAGAACTTTGAAGGATCTAGAGACAATTTACTGATGGACGACTACACATTCTGGTACGTATATGAGGTTGTAGCCCGTCAAAACCTCTACAAAGTCGCATGCGAGAAACAATATTTTACAAATGCTTTTAATTAATAATAAGAACCACAATAATCATTAACTTATGGTCCTCGGGTATGAATGTGTAGCCATCTATCAGCAAATTGACTCTAGCTTCTTCAAACTTCTATGAAAATACGATTTACTATATACCATTCTATCCGGCTCGAAAAGCTCTACAAGATGATATGTTTTGTTTCTTATTTCTGAATCGGTTCATCCCATCCGACGAGACCCTTTAAATAACGGGACACGAACTTTTGATACGCCCTAAGTATATAGTATTATTAAAGTAAATGAAATTTAATTATTTTAATGTTTAAAAAAAAATAAGTTCGAAAAAATTAATAACTGTTTAATTATAAGAAAAAATTATTTTATTTTTAAATTCTACACATCTAATCTACTTTCGATAATTCAACGGAATTTCTTTTTTCTTCATTAAATTTAAAAATTTTATCATTTTTGATTGTAATATGACAAAATCTAATGTGATTTATCAGTAAACAATTATTCAATTCATTTTCAAATAAGAAAAAAAGAATTTTTCTCAGTTGACTAAACAAATCACTTTTTTATATTAATGAAGAATAAAGAAAACAACAATGTCATTATAAAGAAAAATTATTTTTTAAAGTCAAATGGCAGAAACACTTTTAATAGAAAGAACATTAACAGAATTAAATCAATTGAACAGGAAATAAAAAAAATAGGTTAATGGGTACTAATCGAAGAAAACAAAATCTATGTAAGAATATGATAACCTTTATTATATTAATTTAAAAATTAGGTTGTTGTGGAAGTTCATCTCCTCGTGAATCATCTGTATCATCATCAAGTGATAGTTTACAATCAACAAATAATAATTTAAATGAATCAACTAAAGTAACAACAAGTGATTGTTTAATAAAAGAAACAACATCAACAATAAGTTCGAATTTTTCATTAAATAATACCAATAGTAGTACAACTAATAATAATAATAATAATATAAATGATGTTCCAACAACAATTTATAATCAAATAACTTATCGTAAAGGTGATGTAATGACATCAACACAATCACAAATTCGTAAAAAATTTAATGGAAAACAATGGCGTCGTCTTTGTTCAAAAGATGGTTGTCCAAGAGAATCTCAAAGACGTGGTCTTTGTTCAAGACATTTATCACAAAAAGGTCGACAAGAACATAATGCTCAAACAACTCTTAGTTTTGATAGAATTCATTCCCAACCATCAATTATTCCATTAACAACAAATAATTCATCAATTCATCATGGTTATTATTCAGCACCACAATCAAGAACAACAACACCACTTTTTTTCTCACAACCATCACCAAGATTTATTTTACAACAAAATTGTAAAAATATTTTATAAATATTTTTTTATTTTTTTTCATTTTAATTTATTTATTTCTTTAAAGAATTGAAAATTTTACTTGAATATTTACATTTATATATGTTGAATATTCAAATATTTCGAGCGGTACAAAAAAAAATCCTAAAAATGACTTGTTGAGACTTTACTTTTTCTGAAAAATATTTTCAATTAGATTGACCACTATAAGAAGACCTTTATTAAAACATAATATATAAGAAGACTGATAGTTTTATTTGAATAGCTTACGAGGAAAGGTTCCCAACTGATCCACATCGTTTACAATGATATTTTGTCCATATGTCAGGAACAGTATTCGAAGAGGGTTTGAGCTGATGGGGCGGGCTTCCTTCAAAGGTTATGATCATTTTACTGATTTTTCGGTCTATAGTAAATGTTTCCTTTTAGAGATATTGATTCTTAAAACTTGTTTTATATTCTGGAGAATTGTCTTTTTTCTTTTGAATTGAATATTTTTTTTTGCTTCGGTTGAAACTTTTGGAATGCTCTAATGATCATAAGAACTTCATATGAACAAAATTTCAGATTGAATTTTTCACTACCGAAAAATCAGTAAAATGTTCATAACCTTCAGCTGAAACCGTTTTAGAGTTTTTCTTCGAATACTGTTCCTGACATATGGATAAAACATCATTGTAAACGACATGGATCAGTTGGAGACCTTCTCTCCTTAGAGAGAACAACTATTTAGTAATATTTAATCGATAACAAAAAAATATCTTCTCATTGACTTTGTTAAGAACGGGAATAGAAATAAAATATTAGTTGAGAATGAAAAGTTCAATTCAAATATTTGAATAGAATAGATTTATTCGTTTGTAAAAAAAAAAGAAGAATGTTAAGTATCTATTCAATAAAACATTGAAATTAATATAAAATTTAATTTTTATTTTAGCATTTCAAAATGAAGATTTTCATTCAAATAGTTATCCATCAGCTCCACGTTCAACAACATCAGAAATCTCAACTAATGAATCATCTCAATGTTTGTTCTTTTTTTTTCTATTTAAAATAAAAAAAAAAATCTACATTTCTTTTTTTTAGTAAATCCTATACGAACTGTTAATTGGCCAGAAATTTTACCAAAAATAACAATTAATATTGATCAAAATCGTTTTGATTCAATGTCAACACGTAAAAGAAAAACAAAAAAAAAAAATTTTCAAAACTTATTTTTTTTTAATAGATGAAATACATGAAGATGAAAATAATAATTCTTCAAATCATGATGAAGATCCAATGGATGATGATGATAATTCAAATAGAAATTCAAATAATACAAATAATAATAATGAAAATAAATCATCTCATAATGATGAATATCAAACATCAAAAAATCATTCATCATCACCATATAAAGATAAACATGTTCGTCGTCCAATGAATTCTTTTATGTTATTTTCACAAGAACAACGTGGAAAAATTCATTTAGCTAATCCAAATCGTGATAATAGAAATGTATCAAAAATTTTAGGTGAAAAATGGTATTCATTATCATCACAAGAACAAGAACAATATAGAATACGTGCTAAACAATTAAGATATGAACATTCTAAACAAAATCCATCATTTAAATGGACGAATCCATTAAATAAATTATATAATTTAAATAATCAAAATAATATTAAAGATGAACAAGAACAATGTAGAAGATCAGCTAGATTACAATCACATTCAAATCAAGATAAAAATACTTCACCTTATTGTGATAGATTACAAGCTTTTGCTCATGTATGCTTTTTTTTTGTTTTTTTTTATAAGACTTTATTCTTTTATTTTTCAAATAGATTTGTACAAATATGCCTAAATTGACTGAAGAATCTACACAACGTTTTTCTCCAATAACAAAACCATCATCAGATAATCAATCAACATTAACACATCTTATAACACCTGTGCCGATTCATGGAAATTCAACTCCAACATTAATTATCAATCAAAATCAATCGGATATTAATACAAATAATGGTAAATATAATATCTACATTTATACTTTAAACGAGAATATATATTTTTTTAAAGTGTCCTTAGACCTTCGGTTGAGAGTTATAGGCGTTTTACTGCAATTTTAGCCAATGAGAGCGCGAGATTTGTGTCTACAGACAGATTTATTCCTGAGTAAAATGTTCAGAAAATTTCAATTCGAAAAAATCAAGATATTGAAGTCCCAAAAAAACAGAATATTTTAGTATCGTTCATAGGATATGAGTAATTATTGAGACTTCAATATTTCGAGAAGGATGCATTTTTTTTTCGAACTGAACTCAAATTTTTATTCTGTCCGTTTTTTTTCCTTGTATAATCACTTTAAGAATCGATTATTTCGAATTAATTGGTTTTTGAAAACAGCTATTTTATCATTAGTAATTATTACCAGTACTTCGGCGGTATTTATATCATACAATTCACGACCGTGCGTAGCTGCATTAAATCTTCTATTCTCTTCTTTTAATATTTTAGTCGATTTACTAAAGTTTTCTTGTAAAAACTCTTTTATTCGTTTATCTATAACATGATGGTTTTATATGTGCGAAGAGCAGGGATATGAAGAAGAGGAGAAGAAAGTGTGATGTAGGGAAATGGTTTGAGTGCCGAAAAGATGGTTATAGAACCTTAAACACTGCGAAAAATGCGGATTTTTCTTATTTCTTTTTACGGTTATTTTCCTGATAAAAATGCCATTTCTACTAGAAACAAATAAGAGTCCAATATTGAAGAATGCCTCCTTCCGTAGGCCACGTATCTGAGAAAAAGAAAACGTATACACAATGCATAATTAGAGATAGCGAACGAAAAGGAAAAAAAGCAGAACTCGAAGCACATATTCAGCGAAATATAATATAGTAATTCCAATGAACTATCATTGATCGACATACTTTTGTGCAGCTTTCATCCGGAATAATAGCATTATGATAAGACTTAAAATGTCCTGATTTTTCAGACATAGGCCGCTGCGGCTCCTGGACAACGTTTAGATTTAAAACAAAAAAAAAGTTCTTTGAATAAATTTGAAAAACAAAAATTTTTTTTTCTAATAAAAATTTAGAAGTGGATATATCTCAAAATGGAATATTTCAATATCGTAATACAGCATTTCGTGTACATCCATCATATAATACAAATGAAGATAATATTAAAAGTCATTCATTATCAAATTCTCCAAATTTAAAAAATGAAAATTCATCATCATCATCAACAATATTAGCTGAAAATGAAAAATATCGTACAATTGTATCAATGTTAATTAATCAACGTAAAACAAATCTTGGTCTTGAACAACAACTTAAAAATTTACAATCAACAACAAATAATATTAATAATAAAGTAACAATATCACAATCACCAATAACAACAACAATAACAACAACAACAACATATTCAAATTCATCAATTGAATTGAACAGTAATCAAAATTTAATTCATGATAATAATGAAAGATTTAATTTAAATCAATCATCAACAATTAAATCATTTTCTCTTGATGAACATCAACAACGAAATTTTAATTTTCACAATTCACAAAATCATTTTATAACACATTCAATTGGTTTGTACAAAAAAACAAAAACAAAAGAAATTCTTTATTTAATTCATTTTTTTTTTATTTTAGCATCATTATCATCAAGTAATTCAACAGGTTATTCAAGTGGTTCATCATCATCATCTTCACTTGATAGTAATAGTACAATATTATCAGCATATAGTTCACGTTCAAATAGTTCATTATCAGAACGAAGTAAAACATCACCAACACCATTAAAACAAATATCAATTCAATATTTACCAACAATAAATGAAACACATAATAATAATAATTTTCCAATAACAACAACTGATGATGAAGTTACACAATTAACTTCAATTAATGAAAATATTTTATCTAGAAAATCTCCATTACCATTAATATCTCAACAATTAGATAATATTCATCAAAAACCATTAACAAAACGAAGAAAAACTATTACTTTAGAGGTTTGATTTAATTTTTTTTACATTTTAAAATCAACTAAATGAAATATAAAAATTCTTAAAAAATATTCAAGAAGTTCGATATTCTCAAGAAAGTTAAAAGACAATTGTACTAATCGAAGTTAAAGACATCCTAACCAGAGATGGACAAAGTCGCACCGCGCCTCCCCGCGCCGTTGCTCACGCCTACGCTACACTAGTCTGAGCTTCGATGAGCGCATGCTTAGAGCATCCTGGTATTCGGTGGAGTTTGAGAAACTGATTGGTAGAGCAAAGAGAAAGAGAGATGTGCGTAGCGCCTAGGCGCAAGCAATGGCGCGGGGAAGCGCGGGGAGGCGCGGTGCGATTTTGTCCATCTCTGATCCTAACTATAGATTTTGAAAAAAAAAAAAATTTTCGATATCAAATGTCATTTTTTTGTTTATTAATTTAGTGTGTACAACGTCCAACAACTCGATCTCAAAGTATAAGTGAACGTGCTGGAACAACAAATTGTACAATAAATAATAATGAAATATGTCCAATAGTGACACGTAAACGAAAAGCATCAATTGTTAGTGAACATAATGAAAGTGAAATAAAACGTACAGCAATTGATTATATTAAACAATTAGATGGTAAAATATTTAATTTCATATGTTTTTTAAAAAATAAAAATTTATTTTTTAAATAGAAATGAAAAATCAATATATAAAAGCAAATTCAAATCGACAAACAAATTCTTCAACATATTCAAATAGTCAAACAATAAATAAAACACAATTAGAATCGAGATTAAAAGTAGTTGATTTTTTAAAAGATCATCTTTATCCCACCGGTAAAATAACAAAGAACTTCTAAATAAGAAAAAAACGAATTTTATTTTTAGATTCAGCAATATTATCGTTTCAATTAGAAAATCAAGAATTATTTCCAAAGAGACGTTTATTAAATCAACGTATTCGAGAAATACGTCAAAAATTGATGAGTAATTTAAATCAACAACAAACATTACGTGAACCATCACATCATAATTAATACATTTCTCGTCATTCATTTTTTTTTCTTTTCTCGAGTTTTTTTTTTTTTCTTTTTTTTTTCCCCTTTTTGTTTGTTTACTCGATGTTGTGCCATACGTATGTCGTGGTAGTCTTAGCCTCTCATCGTTCACCCACCGGAATGACGTGTCCGCTCGCCGCCTCTTCTCTCTTTCTAGTCCGTGTTCTCTCTTTGTTTTTTTTTTCTTTCTAGACAACAAAAACTATATGTGTGTGTGTCTCTCTCTCTCTCTCTCTCTTTTTTTCATTAGGTATAATTTCTTTGTTTCATTCAATTATCATCATCATAAAAGACTTGTTAAATTAAACTTGTCTCTAAAATAAAAAAAAAAAAAAACAAATAAACGAGAGTTTCTCTTATATATGTTAACTATTTTCTCTTGTTTGTTTCTTTTTTCTTGTGTGTGTGTGTGTTAAAAAATGTTGAAAGGCGTCTATTCTACAGTATGTGTGCGTCATGTCAGATGAAGGTTTTCATAAACTTTGTTAAAAATAAAAGAGAAAAAGAAACAAGAGAGAAATATATAAGAGAAATACTTATTTGTTGTTATTTGTCTTGTTTGTTTTTTTTTTTCTTTCGCGTCTCGTCTATTGTCAATGTAACGCGTTTTGTGTATTCTATTGATTTTTTTTTCATTCTTACGTTGGATAACAAGAAGAAAAAAAAAAATATATATATTAACAAAAAAATTCCTAAAGTGATCCTTCACTGTAGATGTTTTCATGGCGATTTGAGAATCAGATGAATAATTTTTCATCTGTATTCAAATTATTTATTCTTATGAGATTGATAAGTGCATTTTTCAATCCAATTGATGATTGTGATGAAGTTTTCAATTTTTATGAACCTGTAAGTTTAAGAGAAATAAAAAACAAAACAGAACAATGATTCTTTGGTCAAATAAAAATCAAAAAACAAACAAAAAACTAATTTCTTAATATTTAGTTACACAAATTAATATATGGAAATGGTTTTCAAACATGGGAATATTCACCTTTATTTGCACTTCGTTCTTATGCTTATATTATTATTCATTGGTTACCGATTTCTTTTATTCCTCTTAGTTTTAAAGTGAGATTATTTTCATTTTTTTTTAAAATCAGTTTTAGTTTATTTCGAAAGATATTTAGTTGATCACATTCTATGTTCTTCGTTCTTGTCTTGCTATTATTTGTGCAATATGTGAAGCGTTCTTTTTTCGGTTAGTATTTTTTTTTTCTATTTCGAAGTTTTATTATAGGAATATATCGAATATCTAAGAATATATTTATCAAAAATTGAGATGTGGCATTTGCCATCTTGTAGCCCATCGATCGTACGAGACAATATTTTTCGTGAACACATTTGACAAGAAGAATAAACACAAAATCAAACACCTCTAAAAACAAAAAGTTCTTGTAACGTTTTTGCTAACTTGAAAAATCTTTTTCAAGAAATAGGCATATGTAAGAATATCAATGACCACCATCTCTAGATATTATGCATGAACTCAATTCTTTTTTCATTATCCATTCGAAATATTTCAGGTCATACAAATTTAGTAAAGAAGATAATTCAAAAAAAAAACTTTCTTTTTAATCACTGCAAAATAACCAGTTAGCTAGAAAACAACAGCTAATTTACAGAGGTCTTTTAGAAAAAGCTATATTTTTATATAAAAAAAACATGGGTAAATTATATTTTCAATAGATAATTGAAAAGAGAACTTTACAACTAGAAAAATCATCATTAAACGGTTTTTTTTTTCATTTTCATTCTCATCAGAGATGTCCATCGCGGCAGCGCCGCGATGGCGGTGGCGGCGCGGCAGCGGCAGGTTTTTTAAAAAACCACCGCGGCAGCGGTGCGGTAGCGGCAGATTCTTTTTAAAAGTCATCGCGGCAGCGGCGCGGTAGCGGCAGGTTTTTTAAAAAACCATCGCGGCAGCGGCGCGGCAGCGTTTCTTTTATAAATCATCGCGGTGCGGCAACATTTTTTTATGAACCGTCGCGGCTCGACAGCGGTACGGTAGCTTTTTTTTCTAAGGCCGCGGCGCGGCAGCGGCAGATTTTCAGCCGCGATGGACATCTCTGATTCTCATGTAGAAAAATTTAATAGAAAATAGACACAAGAGATTGCTCAATAGTGAAGTTGTAAGAAGTTTTTTTTTTTTTTCGTAGATGTTTGACTTTGAGATGTTTCTGCTCTTCAGGTTTCGTTCTGTTCATAATACATTGTAAATTATCTACTAAAAAAAAAGTGACACATTTTTTTTTTTTGTTATTTTTTCCTTAAAGTGAAATTCATTTCGATTTATAATTTACAAGATGAAGTGATTCAAATAGAGATCTAGAAAAAGAAATATCAAAGTGTACAATTTTTTTACTTTTTGCAAACAGTTGTAACAATGAATTAATATTTGGTTCAATGAGACATTTATATACATGAGAAAGTAGTATAGAAGTATCATATATTGAAACGATTGAGATTAAATTTTTATCGTATTTATAAAAAAAAAAAAATGAATTGTACTATTAATAATTAAAAATCTAATAATATTTAGTGCAATTGATAAACAATTAAATAACTCAATAGCTCGTAAATATGTATTATTATCAATAATGAATGTGGCTTTATTTCGAAGTAGTAGTGCATTTATTAATAATTCATTTTCAATGTATACTGTTTTGTTTGCTTATTCTTGTTGGTTTTCAAATGCATTATCAGTAAGAAAAACAAAAAAAAAAAGAATTTTGTTTTATTAATATTCATATTCTAGTTATCGGTTTTCTTTATTGCTTTTGGATCATTATGTGGATGGATTTATGTTGCTGTACTTGGGTAATTATAGAAATTCGTATTGTTATATTTTGTTTTAAAATAATATTATTTTGTTAAGAATTCCAATAGCTATTGATATTGTTTTTCGTCGTCAACGTTATATTGATTTCATAAAATGGAGTATTATATCTGGTTTAATAACATTGGTAAATTAAATATGAAAAATTTCTTATTGCTTTTTCAATATTTAATATAGTTATTTTTTATTTAAAGATTCCATTAACTTTAATTGATTCATATTATTATGGAAAATTAGTAATAACACCATTAAATCATATACGTTATAATTTATTTTCAAAACATGGTCCAACTCTTTATGGTAAATTAACTAAAAAAAACAATAATATAATTAAGAATTAATATATTTTTCTTTAATTAGGTACTGAACCATGGACATATTATATTATAAATGGTTTACTCAATTTTAATATTATTTATCCACTAGCAATAATTGGAATTATCTTAACAGTAAATTAATTAAATTTTATTCCTATGCAATAGAAGAGCTCAAATCTTCTATTATATCTCATTTATTTTCATAATTTAAAAAAAATGTTTTCGAAGATTTGAAACGAAATTTTTAAAATTTAAAAAGTCTAGAAATAATATTGACTTCCGTTTTTTTAAGATTTTTCAGTTAAAAAAAATCTAAAAATTAGATGTTTATTTTAACCAGAGATGTCCATCGCGGCTCAAAATCTGCCGCTGCCGCGCCGCTCCCGCGACGCGATGGCCTGTTAAAAAAGCTACCGCGCCGCTGCCGCGACGCGCCTTAAAAAAAACTTGCCGCTACCGCGCTGGTATTCGAAAAAATGTTTTGATTTTCAAGGCTTTGACTGGTTTGAAATAGAACTGATGCCGCTAATCGATCAGATTCGCTAAGTCTTACAGTATAGCATACATAAACACGCAGATTCTGTGCAAATTCATGAATTTTTGAAATTTTTTCCTAAAAAGCTGCCGCGACGGCAAAATAAAAATCTCTCCTGCGCCGCTGCCGCGCCGCGATAGTTTTTGGAAAAAATCTGCTGCTGCCGCGCCGCCACCGCCACGGCGGCAGCGACGCGATGGACATCTCTGATTTTAACTTAAATATCCAAATTAAAGTTTCAATTTTATATGAGATTAATGAATTAAAAGAAGTCTTATATAATAATATCCAACAGATCGTTAGTCAAATAAAGTTTTCATTTAAATATTTCGATTATTTTATTTTAGCCATATATTGATATATTTATTGATCGACGTTATATACAATCAGGTAAAACATTGTTTCAATAGAAGAAAAGCAAAAAAAGAAATGTTATTTAGGTAAAGTTGCAATTCCATATGCAATGATTGTATCATCAATTGTTATGTGGATGGGTCTATTATGGATGCAACCACATAAAGTAAATAAAATAAAATAAAATAAAATATTAAATAAATAATTTTTCAGGAAGATCGTTTTGTTTTTCCAATATATCCATTAATTATTTTAACTGCTTCAATTGGTATTGATCAAATAGAAGTAAATTATTATTTTGATTTTGAAAATTTTTTTTTTTTATTTATTTTATAAAATTAGAATTTAATTCCACGTCTTGTTCGTTTAATAAAATTAAAACGTAATTCAGTTTTATTTGTTCGTCGTTTATTTGTTTATTCAATAATAATTATTCATGGTATATTATCTATATCACGTACATTTGCTATTGTTGATGGATATTCAGCACCAATTCGTCTTTTAACTCATTCTAATACAACGAATATATTTGAAAAATCATCAAATAAACATCTTAATATTTGTATTGGAAAAGATTGGTATCGATTTCCATCACATTTTTTATTACCGGAAAAGTATATTATTATTATTCTAGTTTTTCGTTATTAGATGTTTTTTTGTTTTTCTTATAGATCTCAATTATTATTTCTTCGTTCAGAATTTAAAGGTCAATTACCAAAAGCATATAGTTCGTTGAAAAATGCAACTCGATTAATAGATAATCATTTTAATGATGAAAATAAAGAAGAAATTGATCGATATGTAAGTTTTATTCATTTTCATTAAAAAAAAACAAACATTTTATTTGTTGATTATTATTACATTTCATCAAAAATTTCATAAATTTCTCTCAAAATTGATGAATCTTGTTTTTAAATAAACTATTTATCCTATC